GTATCGGTATCGATATCGAACATTTTTGAACGATACCCAGCCCTAGCCACATGTAATCGCTCAATCAGTGTTTCGACTGCAGAAAGACATAAAAAAACAGCTTGTAAACAAAATGTCATGCAGCATTTAATTTACCTCAGGCAAGTCATCAGTGTCCACAGCTCGTTAGTTCGCTACAGAAATTAAGTCTAGAGAAGAGCATTTCACGAAATATTAGACTACTCATCATATTTTACTATGACAGCCACTGTGTACATGAATATATTTCAACAACAAATACAAACTGAATCATTTAGAAGTTAATTTAAAAACTGCATTGTGTGCAATTTACATGTTTGCATACAATTTTTTAAGTCAAGTGTTGATTATTATATTTAAAAATAAATAGTAATTAAATTTAAGTTTGGGCTCTGTTAATTGTAACCATATAGTAATGCAAAAGGGATCTAAAAGGGCTAGTTTAGAGCATAAGCTGAGGTAGATTTTTATGCCTAGGAAATGTTTTATTATAATTGAATTTATTTAAAGAAAGAGCAGTTTGTTCAGTAAACCACTGTTTAATAAATAAAAAAAGAAACTATTTTGTGTTTAGTTTCCCCACTGCTGGAAACTTCTAAACTATACCAAACCGAACCGTGACATCAAAATCAAGGTACGTACCGAACCGTCATGTTTGTGTACCATTACACCCCTAGCCATGCAGAGACATAATTTCCCAGCTGTAGCTCTCAAGCATGATGGCGTTCGGCAGGTCACATTAGGTTTGACCTTAATATCGACTAGCTATATGTGTAATGTCACAACATCAAACCTGAAACATCAGATGTCACATTTGAACATAACTGAACAACAGAAAGCAAGATTTTCTGTGAACTTAAAATTGGGTCTGTTCCTCACACAAAGCTATCATATAGATTTGGAAGACATGAAATACAATGCATAAGAGTTTTTTTTCCCTAATTTAAGTCAATTTGGAGCTAGACAGCCCCAGTCCCGATTCACTTCTGTACACTGTATAGCAGAGTGGCCTACACATTCTTTTCTTATATTTCTGCTTTTGTATTTTGCAATAGAAATAGTCAAACCGGTCTGAAACTGCATTGTGGTGTAAAAATAATAACAGAATTGTCAAACTCCAGAACTCACTGTAAGACGGCCTGTGCTACAAACATGTCCACCTCTCCATGAAATCCTCGCGCAGATGAATACTCCACCAACATCTGTGCACAGCCTTCTCCATCAGATGAGTGTAGAAAATGATAGCGTGATTCACTGTAGTTTTGCTCTAAATGCAAACAAACAAATGATGTGGGTTACCCATTCTCGAAACAGCAGATTGTTCCTTTAGAATTTATTGAATGATTATTGTCATGTCTGTTTTACCTTTCCACAATGTGAGCGCCAGCAGCTGGTGTAGTTTGGGGTGGCCCAACTTCCCCGAGCCTCCTGATGACCACTTGATCGCTCTGGAGACAAACGCCACTCGCTCTGGTGAATTTGGGTCCATCAGGCTGAAGAGTTTAGCCAAATGCTCTAGAACAAACACCAAGAATGTAATTACACAATTAAAAGGCTATCATCTAATTGCTGCAGATTGTAGGTATTGTAGATTGTGTAGGGTTGGGAAATGTTGAATATTTATTATACTCTGTATTATTTTATTGAAGTTATGAAGTTAACCAATATTGTCAATATTATGCAGATTTTAATGTGCTTCTCATTTTGCCATTAAAATTTCCCATAGACTTTCATTAACTCAGTTTTGCAACTATTCCTTGTTTCATGATGTGACTAAACGAGTGTTAAGACAGAATTGAACTTCAGTAGCAAAATTTCTGTTAAGTTTTGACGTATATGATTATGCCTTGATTATTTTAAACCACTATTACATTAAACATTTTTTAGCTAACTGGCGGTTAGTTGAAATGATGGTTCCACTGACTGACCAAAAAAAAAAAAAAAACACACCAACCCACACACACAACGCTCACACACACACACACACACACACACACACACACACACAAAAACAGCTTTTCAACTACTTTGAAGGAGCTAGTGGAAAAACATTAAAATAAATATAAAATAATAATAATAATAATAATCAGGGCTCGAAATTAACTTTTTTACTTGGTAGCACTGGTGCTCCCAACTTCAAAAAGTTAGGAGGTCACTGTTAATAAGTGAGTCATAGTGACTGAACCGAATCATTTAACGAACAATTCATTCAGGAACGAAACGCCCTTATGTTGCTCAGAGACGCAAAACAGAGCTGTAAATGTGCTTGGAATTATTTTTGTTGGCGAAATAGAGCAAAAACAGGCAATATAGTGTCTTCTCTGTAGGTGTGTTTTGTTTGGATTTTGCAATACACTCGATAATGTCAAACCACATGTCGGAAAACAACAATTACGAAATGTTACCTGCAAACTCCGTCCCACAGGCTTTACAGTGAACGCAGTGCATAGAACCATTTTCATAGCGGAGCCACTAGAAGTCTTTCAACCACTCTCTCCGAAAACTGTACGCCTTCTATTCGGCTGGTGGATCAACATTCACCACATGATCGCTATCACCAGCACCATTATTTGTAACTTTAGGTGGTTTACAAAAGAAATCTGTCAGTGTTCTTTTCATTTTCTCTCTTCTTCAGCCCTTTACATTCCCAGCGGTAGTTAGCTCCCTGTCACCTGACAGTGGAAAGCAGTGACTGAGTGATTGACAGCTAATATTAACCAATCTAAAATCTGCATTAAAGTTAAAAATGTAAAGATGAAGTTTAATTTTGTTATGTAGCCTAACGTTTCATAGAACGGCAGACAGGTCACCGTATCAACACTCAGAAGGCACATACTCTGAACGTTTTTAGAGAAATTAAAACAGGTCGCACGACAACAATTATATGCACTCGCACAAATGCTCCCAAATATATTTTGAGGTCGCACAGATTAAATTTCGGGAGCATATGCGACCAAAATGGTCGCAATTTCGAGCCTTGATAATAATGTCTTAATTAGTTATATTGCAACGCTATTGCATTTAACAGCTTGGTGCTGCAGTACATTTGAACTCAATATTGGCTACCAATATTCACACACTTGCTTTAGCTTAAAAATAAATAAACCTTCAGAATATTCAGTTCTAACTACAGATAAAGCTAAATATAACCACACCTCTAATTGTTTGCCAAATTAATAACAATCACCAGCACAACAGCCTTGATAATGTAATGTTCAATAAACTCACCTAGTGTCTCATCATCTACTTTGGCCCCAGATTTCTCCAGGGACTCTAGTTCCAGCATGGACAGATCTGCAGCACTGTTTTGCTGTTTAGAAAACAAACATTAGTGCAGAGATCTTACAGAGGAAAAAAAGTGAACTAATTGTGAACCAGTAACAACTGACCTGTTCAGAGATTGCATGACATGATAAATGAAGTCTCTGACTGACCTAAAATTGATAAGAGGAACACATACCTGATTATAACTAAAGAAGAGCAATGCTCCATTGTACATCAACTCTCTGGCCTCTGCATGCTTCGCTTGTGACATGTACCTGCACCCAAAGCAACATGGTATTAACACAGTGTTTCTGTGACTGAGATAGCGATCATACAGTCCTCATGGGACACAGCAAAAAAATATGTCTATGATGATTAAAAAAAATATATATACTTTTAAAAACAAAATCAAGTTTAATATATCATATATATTATATAATTATATGTATAATATATGTATCAAGTTCTTCAAAATATATTAATTGTATTCATGTTGGCTTTGACACTTATTAGGCCTACATTTTTTATTTATATTTGGCCCTATAAATACTGTGCTGTAACTATCCGGTAAAATGCAAAAACATTTTCTTTGAAAAACATGAAAACATGTGACTGTGCACATTGAAACTTTTCATATATTTAAAATGTGTATTTTTTCAATTTAAAAATTATTTTTATAACAAATACCATGAATTTTCAGAGAGTTCTATCCCACAAAATTTTACAACCTGAACAAACCTTGCCATTAAAGGCCACATTATTTGAATTTTTTTTTTTTTTTGGAGACTTCTTGAGTTTGACACAGTCATGAGGCTCCTTTTTTTCCTGCATGTTCCTTCATGTAGATTGCACATTGTGACTTACCAAATATCAATAAGCAGTTGAGTCTGTTAAGCCTATTTTTTCCCCTATGAAAAAAGGCAATAAAACATATTTGACTACTAAAAATTGTATTTTCTTTTAATGAGGCTTTTTCTTTTTCCATTATGTTGTTAGTACATGTAGAGTCCATCACCCTGATATTTACTTGCAATCTGATTTGTGCAATATTTGATAACTGGTGATGTTGCTCCTCTCAGCATAACAAGTAAAAGACGTTTGGCCATCAAATACAAACGCTGCCTAGGTTGAACTCATGATGGCCCATTAGAAAGCCTATGAGACTATGATGCTCAAAATGCTGCCTAGGTAGGCAGCTCACTAGACAGCAGGTCAACAAAAGGAAGAATGAATTGCAGGTGTGGTTTTAAGAAATAATTTTTGTTGTCTTTATCACATTTGCCTGAATTCATCGGAAGATTTTAGAGACTTTAAACTTAAAAGGTGAAATTTCACAATTCTCCCACTGTCGTATTATATACTATTGTTTGTTTGTTTTT